GGGTTGCAACCAAATTCGGAGGGCGGATTAACCGTATTTACATTGAAGCTTATGGGGAAATTGCCTCGGGGTGCGACCAAATTCAGAGGGCAGAACGGATTAACCATATTTACATTGAACCTTATGGGAAAATTTGTCTCGGATTGCAACCAATTCGAGTTGCGACCAGAGTCACGGAATGGATTAAGTTCGTAACCCGAGGTACCACTGTATAGGATTTTAATTAAACCTAATGACAATGTCAGAATTATACCTCAATATTGCTTTTACCTTCAAATGATAGTGATAAAGTGCTGCCTTTGGTTTCTGTTGGATTTTATTCTTTGGTGGAAACCTCTTCATTCTTTCCAAGCCAATGAAGTGTTGGAAAGAAATTATGTAAAGAACCCTGGGACTCTGTCCATCTGTTAGTGGGGTAATCCTCCAAACACTGAACAGAACTGGACCATTTTGGTGTGGTATGAGAAGCCAGCAAAAGAAAGTCTGAATTTGAAAACGGGCAGGCTCCAGCAGGGAGCTATGGAGAAAAGTATTCCAGAAAAAAATCCCCCCAATGCATCCTTGGTCTGGGAGAAGCAGCTGGCCAGCGGCTTGAAATGCTACTGACCAATCCATTCTAAGCCCTCCTCCCTCCTTCCTGCTGGACACCGCAGACAGAGTGGACCATATGCAGCCTACCCTGCACTTCCTCATGCACGCTTATGCACAGATACTCACATGCACACACCCAGTGACCATATCGGACAGATGCATTGTGTGAACAAATCAAGCTTCAGAGTACATATTGTGACAGTCCTGAATTTGGTACCCTGAAGATATGCAATTTTATTCTAATGCCCCAGGTAATTACATCATTGAAACAAACGAGTGTAAGCTTTCTTAAGGTGGTAGCACTTTTCCTGCTTTTTTCCCTGGTCCTAGACTTTAACTCTTAAGTGCTGCTGCTTCTGTTAATGGTATAGTACCTTTTTGCTATGAATCACTAGTGGGGAAATAACCCAAGAGGCAGGAGGGGAACATTCTGGATATTTGGTAACCCTAGCACATTTAAATATTGAGTACAGAAGTTCACAGTTTCTTTGCACAGTGAAAGACAACCTTAATTTACTAGGTAATTGTTCACGTGCTACGTATATTCTGTCATCTCAGGATGACAATGAAGTAGCAGACTTGGCATGACCCATCTCTGCTGCCAAAGAGGCAGCAGAGTTTTCTGCTTTCTTGTGTGCTGAATGTAAAGGCCTACATTAATGTTCCTTCATTTCGTCTCTGGAAAGTGGGTGCAGGACATTATCCTATTCGTACAATGGGCTGAATGGAAAGATTCCATTGAAAAAGTGCTACTACCTTAGTGGATGGACCCTCATTTTTATTCAAAATCAGTGTCCTTGAATCCATTCATAAGAACTGGGCATGTTTCCCACTCAGCCTAATAAAATGCATGTGCTTAATTAATTGTGATAGCCACCTGCCTAGTCATTTTTTAAACTTACTTACGTTTTCTTTCTCCTCCCCTGTTTTGGCAGTTGGCTTTAAAGAACTCTCTGCGTTATTTCCCATCTAACTTACATGGAATCCTGGCACCAGAATTTGCCAAAGAATTGAGACTCTATGGGCATATCTACATGTACAGGTTCTGTCCCCAGATTGAAATGAGGTAAGGATTTGGATTTGCAAAAGGATTGGGAATTCCAGGTTGGGACTGAAATTCCTTACTCAGTAGCTCGATTCACATCATGGGCATCTGTGCGGGTGTAGGAAATGCTGTCGTACCCATGACATCATTGCCTAAACAACATAATAATGTAACGTGCATTGTTTGTGTGACAACATCATGTTTCAAATGATGTCATTGTAGCTTGTACTGAATGCTTACCATTCTCATGTAAGGCAAAGCCATAATTTTTTTTAACTGTCATATTTTTGAATTGAATTACCCTGATCCATTAAGCATTATTAAAAAACTAAAATGGCTGTGTTCTGCACTAAGTCAGAAGCAGTCAAACCACCTTTTGGGTTCCTTAGCATAGTAAGTGAATCCAGCTTATCTTTATACAGTTAGCAAAAGTTTATCAGTGGGGCTACCTCAAGGCCCAGCCATGAACTAGGCTAGCAGAAGGTCATTTGTTGATTAACCAGCAAGATGAGACAAAACAAGGCAGATAAGTACAAGCAAGCTGATTTACTGGTCAATGTAGGCAGTTGCTGACCATTGGGGAACTTTGGACTGGGTTCAAGCATCATGCTAAACTATAATGTAGTTAGTTTGTTTCTGGCAGTTTATAAACCAAGACTTAGGACAATATGTCAAGCCAGTTAATTGTGGATTAGAAAACAAACCATGGTAAAAAGCCTCTGAAAATGTGAATTCAACCTTTGACTTGGCTGAGACCCAATGGTAACAGCTTTATAATAGGGTGGAGAACAGTGGACCTTTGTTTCTGATGAGTGTCTGCTTCCAGCATCTTCACAGCCCTTGTAGTTAAGATGGTTGGAGACTGTTATTCAGTGACATCTAGATCTCCAATCCATTTGCTGTTTATAATCTGTAAGTTTGTAATGCAGTTTTTCTCTGTGGTCAACTTCCTTGTGGGCAGCACAGCATATAGCAAACTTCTTCTGGAAGAAGTAAGACATGCAGAAAATAAGGTGTCAAGGCTTGGCTTGATCCTGGCTATCAAAATACCTTGGCAGAGATTCCCAAGTGCCTTCTTAGGTTCTAATGAAGCCTATGTAAGAACAAATTCCAGAACTGTATTTCTAATGTCAAGCCTTTTTCACCAGCACCATCCATAAAAAAGTAACCATAACGTAAAAATAACAACACATGTGTCATGACATCATCACATAAATAATATAATTATGTCAGTGTGTGATGCAAATATGTAATATGTCCTATGTGATGATGTCATGACATATATGTATTGTACTGAACTATAAACATTCCACCCCTTTTTAAGCTTAGTTTAAGCATGTTTAGGGCTACTATATCTGGGTTGAAAAATGCAGATAGCCAATAGATAGCAACAAAGAGTTAGTTTTATGTGTCTCTTCACTCCAATCTAGTAGTCGTCGTCCAGATTTTTGCAGTCTAGATATAATCTATAGTCCTAAACATGTTGAACAAACCCAGTGTACAGGTCTAGACATAGCCTCAGACCATAGGCTGGCAGTGCATGAACCAGCTCTGTGGTTGTAGACTTTCCCTATATATATTCACATGTTTTATGTTATGAATCTGGAGGACCATTAGATAACTGTAAACAGATGCAGACTAACCCTTTGCTACCATCTAGTGTTTGTCCAGTTACGGGAACCCTAGTTGTATTCAGTCCAGCAAACTATGATTTCTTTTAGCCCAAGCCATGACCTACAAGTTAAGATACAACTATAAAGTATAAATTAATTCATGAATAGAATGCATAAAGGAGAGAACATGTACAAGCCCAGGAGCTGTTTCTTTAATGCCAAGCCATAACTGGATGTGAAGTGATTCTGTACCTGTTTAGCCCATTAGAAACTGTAATATATTCACTGTGTATGAGTTGGGCAGCCATATAACTTTGTTAAACAAACAAACACACAAACAAACAGGCTGAGTGCATGAATGGGAATGAGCTTTCCTATCCTCTTTCTATCAGGGTAGCCACCATATCTGGACTGTAAAAATCCAGGTGAGCACTAGATTGCAACCAAGAGATACAGACAACTCTGTATTGCTGCCATCTTATGGTTGCCTGGAGTTTTACAACCCAGATATGGCAACACAACTTTGCATGCCTCCAGGAGGGAGAATGAACCTGGCTTAGGACTCACATTGAAAGATCTTTGAAAGGTCGTGATGTGTGAACTTGGAATTGTGCTTATTTTTTTGTTTGTTTTTTAATTCTAGTTTGCTGAATGAAGTTCAGAGCAATCTGATTTCAAGCTGGTTTGCTTAACCATCAAGTAAACATTGGCTGTTTTGGAAATGAAAGAAACGTTGACTACTCTGCCCCTGAGAACAAGTGTGATGCTGTGATTAAGCTGTAGAGTTAGGACTGAGAGGCCCATGTTCAAGTCCTCCCTCTGCTGTGGAACTTTGGGCCAGTCTCTCTGTCTTAGCCCATCCAGCTCACAGGACAGCAATGGGGAAAATGGGAGGAGGGAATGGTGGGCATGCTGCCTCGAGATGCCAGAGCGAGGGTGGGATAGAAACCTAATTAAGAACAAACATAATGATAAGCATTTTTTATCATCTTGGCCCCAAGGGAGAGGGGAGGAAAAAGTGCTGTAGCCAAACGCTGTTGCATTTATCGTTCAAATATCTTTGATCATTAGATGCAAAGTTTGTTCATTCTCATTGACTGATCTTGTTTGTTTCATTTAATGTTTCTGGCGATTATGTCCTGCCAGCATGAAAGTGTAAGGCAAAAATGACTCTAATGCAGTACATAGACCCTGTACTGACTGTAGGCTGAAAAAAGCTTCGCTTTGTAACTGTCCTGAGCTGCAGTTTTGAAAATCTGATACAGGGCAATAACATTCCTCAAATGTAGTGTTCCATTTTGAAGCATTTTTGTTAACAATTGCTCAGAATCTGTTTGTTCCAACTGGATTTTATATTTGAGTTCTCAAATGAACAGTTCAAATTTTGCTCATGTTCCAAATAGGCATAGCAGTAAAAAAAAAAAAAAAAGGCTGCCCAGGGACACAAAGCTCAAATTCTACAAACATTTGCAGCTGAGCTGATACAGATTTTCCGTATTCAGATTCTGAATAAAAAGATCAAGTAACAAGGTCAGAATAAACAATATATTTTCTTCATTCAGTATGGAATCCTTCCAAAACAGACATAAAACAAGAGAAACAATGAAAAAAAAATGCTATGATATTTATTTTGCCAACTGGATGTAAACTGTTTGCCAATGGCACTATGTCTATTTCTATTCCAGAGTTGGTAACTATTTCTTCTGTGAGTGTATGTGTTATGCACACATGTGCACATGTGCCATATCAGGGCTGTGCAGCACTTCAGCAATAATTTGGAAAACATGGTTGGATTCACACAGGAATGTGAACAGAACACTTGCCTAGAAATCTTTAAAGGAGAAATGTCTTTTCCCAGGATTGTGCAGTTCCCCTCTGTGGCTGCCACATGATCCTGGGAAAGGTTGTGGCTGCTTTAAAGAATTACAGAAAGGTGCTGTGTTTTCATTCCCCCTCCCTTGGAAGTGAATCTGAAGAACTGCACAGACCTAGAATGTGTGTATGTGTGTGTGCATTTCTTTTTTTCATTTTGGAGTCTCATGTGAAGTGGTTTTCCAAATCGAATTGGTACTCAGTTGGCCCAAGAGAAATGGCACCTCATAATGTTTGCTGAATGGATAATGTGGGCTCAAAGCACACACGTTGTGACTGCAAGAGAAATTATCAATAGCATTGTAATGGCAAGTTCCAGCATCTGGCATTTATATTAGTTTTTTCTTTAACAGCAATACTCTACTTGTGAACAGGCAGGTTTGAAATAACTGCTCATTTATTCCTGTGCATTTGTTCTAGTTAGTTAGTTAGTTAATTACTGGGTCCTGTTCATGGTTCTCTTTGGAGAAGACGAAATGGAGATGCTCCTCTCCCACTTGACACTTTGCCTGCTCTGTGGTCAATTTTACAAGCCAGCCTTATCAAAGAGCACTTCCTTTCCGGCTTCTGTAAATAGGGTGTACAATGCTCCTAGGTTAAGGAGATTCTGTCTAATCATTTTATACAGTGAGAAAGTATATCCATGGGTTCAAGTATTCAGTGCCCTTGAGTAACAAGAGAAATAGGTGTCTTTATGAACCACACTCAAACAGCTTTCTCGGTCTTATAATCTTCAGAGTTGTCAGACTACATGTACCCAGTGCTGTCTGAAGATAATGGGAACTGTAGTCTAACATATCCACAGGCATTAGGTAGAAAGAAGCTCTTAATACACTAATACTTTTTGGCAGCTGGGCGGGGAGGGGGGGGATCCTCTTATTCTCATCTACTGAGAAGTGATCTTGATTGAGTTCGGATGGTCTTATTCATGATAGATGTACTGCATCCCTAACTGACTTTATTGTTCTATTAAATTTTTTCTGTAATGGTTTTTCTTTTAATTTATCTGTGATAAATTCAAGAATTCAACTGTAAAAAGGTTTGGGAATAATTACTTCATCTCCACCTTTATTTATTTTAATTTCAGAGCTTATCCCATTCAGGAATATCCTTGCAAAACCAAACAAGCTGCTGCAATAATGCACATGATTATGAATAATCTTGATCCTGCAGTAGCACAGGTAATGAATATTTGGTGAAAACATGGTCTAGGAAAGAAGTCTCCTGTCATGTTAATGAGAATGTACTGCTTTTTATGAAGTAACACATTTCAGTTCCTCTTATAACTTAGAGACAGTGATAGGTTCACACATTATGTTAAGCCATTGTTGTTTTGACATTACTGTGTTAAATAAACCTACAATTAGCTAGGTTGGAAAAACCTGATAAACTATAAACCATAGTTTACAAACTATAATGTCCAGTTCTCACCATTCATACACATATAACCATCATTCTGTCCCCTTTCAGGGCAAGCTACATTATCGAAGTGCAAAAAGGGAACAAAAATAGTAAACCAGAGGAATTCAAGGCATGAGATAAGAAAGAGAAAAGCAAGCATACCCAAAACTTGTTTACATTAGTCCCATTCGGTATACCTCTCCATATCTTTGTAGCCTCACAAACCATCTTGGCTTCCAGTCCATGCTCCCATCTGGACCACTACAATGCTCTCTACAGGGGGCTGCCCTTGAAAAGCATTCAGAAGCTTCAGCTGGTGCAGAATGCCAATGTCAATGGTGCCTCTACTTTGTGAGCTGCCAGTGTGCTTCTGGGTGCAATTCAAGGTGTTGGTTGCCATCTTTAAAGCCCTTTGTGGCTTGGGACCGGGTTACATGAGGGACTGTCTCTCCCCAGTTGTTTCTACTTGTCTGATCTGATCAGGCAGGATGGGCATGCTTTGGGTCCCATCAGCTAAGGAATGCCGGTTGACGGGGCCTAGAAGACGTCCCTTTTCTGCCGTAGCACCAGCCTTATGGAACATTCTCCCTCTGGAGATCAGGATGGCCCCAACCCTGCTGGCTTTTCATACGTCCTTAAAGATCTCACTGTGTGCCTGGGCCAGGGGCCCTGAGTATGTGCAGGGACCCATTTCTTGGTTTATCTAGTGATTATGAAGGATGGGTTATTCTCAGCTGCTATGTGTTTTAATTTTTGTATTATTGTAATTGTTTTTATTTTTTAAATTTTTGTCACCGCCCAGAGTCACTTGGTGAGATAGGTGGCCATACAAATTGAATGAATGAATGAATGAATGAATGAATGAATGAATGAATGAATA